AACCTCAAATATATATATATATATATATATATATATATATAGCTGATTAGAAACTCAATCAACTGTTCATAATTGTATGTATAGGCTATTTCATCCTCTCTACTTGAATGCTCCTTATTATGACTTCAGTCAAGATTCAGTCAAGCAATTAGGATTGTGTAAACAATGCAGACTTTATTTTTGAATGAAAATTTAGAAACTCGTTTTGAAAGCTGTTTGACTTATAAAGATCTAATAATTACAGTTGAGTAATTCAATTCTTTGAATATATTTTTAGAAAGTCTAGATTCTTAGGATGAAAATCATTCATGCCTCATTCAGTTTTCCTGCTCCATCTAGAATAATTTCAATTATGTCAATGGTCTAATTATTTATATTCTTCTTTTTCTTTTTATTTATTTATTTTTTTGGAGAGGTTTTTGCTATAGGGAGCATGAACTCACCAGAAAAACAGAGACAGAGAGACAGAAAGCAAGAAATCACCCCCCAAAGGGAATGGCCACACTGCATTTCCTTCTCCTCTGTTCTCCTCTTGAAATCTTGGGCACACACATGCACCCAGTGTGAATTTAAGCCACTGGGTCCAGGACTTGAACCATGGTAGACTACATGGGATTCCAGCAATGTAACCATTACATCATCTGCTGGTCTGAAATTATTTATACTATTCTAAAAGCGAGAGAGTGGGCATCAAATATGACAGCTATAAATTTGTAAATAAACACAGTCATTTTACTGACTGACCCTTTAATCTAAAGACCTACCCTCTGTTATTAATTTCTTTTAAATTTATTTTTAATTAATTAATTCTTCTTCTTCTTCTTTTTCTTTCTTTGGAGAGGTTTTCTCTATAGGGCACATGCACTGACCAGAAAGACAGGGAGACAGAAAGCGAGAAATCACCCCCCGGGGGGGATGGCCATGCCGCAGTCCCTTCTCCTCCATTCTCCTCTCAGGATCTTGGGCAGCCACACACACGTGTCTGGCGTAAGCTTAAGACACCGGGTCCGGGACTCGAACCGCAGTCGACTACATGGGAGTCCAGTGACATAGCCATTACGCTAACTGCTGGTCCCTGATTAATTCTTATTCTTATTATTGCTATAGGACATGTGCACTCACCAGGAAGAGGGGAGAGTGAGAGAGAGAAATCACCCTTAGGGAGGATGGCCACACCACAATCCCTTCTCCTCCATTCTCCTCTCTGGCTTTTGGACACACATGAACATGTGTTCAATGTGGTTTTCAAGCTACAGGGTCCAGGACTCAAATCAGGCAGTCAGCCATGTGGGATCCAGGCAACTTAACCTTCATGCCACCAGCTGGCTTATTTATGGTTCTTAATACATCCCAGGCACAGAGAATAAAATATGTAAAGACTAGAGAGAACAAACCTGGAGAACAACTTCAATATTGTATGCTATAGATTGAATGCTGTGTCCCTCACTCAAAATCGTATGTTGAAGCCTAGTCCTCAATGCAAAGGTATTTGGAGGTAGAGCTTTTGGAAGGTGATTAGGTAATGAAGATGGAGCCCCCATGAATAGTCCTAATTGCTTAACTGAATCTTGACTGAAGTCATAATAAGGAACATTCAAGTATTATTGCGAGCTCAGAGAACTTCCTAGCTTCTTCTACCATTTAAGAATACAGCAAGGAGATGGCCATCTATGAATCAGAAAGCAGACCCTCACTACATTCCCAATCTACTAGTGTTCTGATCTAGGACTTCCCAGCCTCCAGAACTGCGAGAAACAAATTCTTTTGTATATAAGCCACACACTTTATATTTTTTATTATAGCATGTCAAATGGACTAAGATAACATGTTAGAAATGTAATGTAATGTGAGAGTGGCTCTGGATATGAAGAGGATGTGATAATCTGGTGCCAGATCATGCATGGTATTAGAGCCTTGGATAAAGACTTATGATTTCATGTTAGCAGCAAAGACAAAGCCATAGGGGGTTTTATGCAGAGTAGTGGAATTATCTCTAACATCCCCAAAAGACTACTACTATGGAGAAGAAATTGGCGAGTGGTTCTGTGGAGCCATAGGTTACTGTGCTTTTCTAGAAGAGAGATGATAGTCACCTGGAAATAGGCATGGTAATAGAATGGAAGCAAAGTGAATAGAAACTCCATATGTATTTCTTGGAGATAGACTTGAAAGGACTTGCCAACAGATTAGATATGGGATCATGAAGGAGAGAAGAGTAAGAAAAGAATCAAAGCTGAGGTCCAGGTTTCTGAGGCTCAGGGAGGATTCTTTATGATAGGAGCAAATTCACTTGAATGTCAATAGAAGACGGCTTTTTAGCCCTTTGAAAATACTATGAAATAGTTTATGAAAAAATCTGTTTTTTCTTGGACTTCTACTCTGAATTGTTAAGTTTTTCTTTGATGCTGGGTTCTAAGTTCATGAGACTGGTTCAATGAATCATTCTACTAAATAGGTTATTATCTGTTGAAGATAATGTGTATAGTATTCTCGACTGGTGAGAAATGTATACAGGTTAGAATGTTCACTTTGCAAGCTAAGTGACATATCTGATTGAATGTATAAAAGAAATTAAAATTACACACACATATATGTTAGTTGTTTCTTTATATATATATTAGTATGTTTCTTTATATATAACATATATATATTAGTATGTCACACTGTTCTCAAAACAAATTATTTCATTTTAAAATACACATATACACACACACACACAAGAAAAGAAAAAAGAGAGAAAGTGATATTATTTAAATAACAGAGTTATTAGGAAGTGTTCTCTTCACGCAGGAAGGAGATAATCTCTTATGCTTTTTATGTTTTAATATCTCCAGGGATTTAATGCAGGACTGGAAGAGATGAGGGTAAAGAAGGTTAGAAGGTGGGGAGGGAGTGGATGCACTAGAGGCCAGTGAATTATCTACTGGGGTCCAGCTTTTTTATTAAGTTATATGTGCACTTCGGTATGATAATTTAATTGTTCACTTTGAACCTAAAGCTGACTGATCAGGTGATGGTCTCATTAAAGTACTTACCTTTTACAAATATTTTCTTTTTTTGTCGAGCTTATTTATTTATTTCTTCCATGAGCAAGCAAGACAGAAACTTCAATAGTGTTTCGATGCCACCATTCACCCCCATTCCCAGACTACCCTAGATCATGGGCATATACATGTTAAACATACTCAAACATGCTCCTGGAAACTTCCAGTGTGAGTCAGATTCACAAAGTGTTACATCCTATAGTTGTACCACCATTCAGCTACCCCCACTCCCAAATTATCTAAGTGTATAAACAACTTAAGGAATAAATTTAGAGGGGAGCTTCTAGAATCATCTGGAGATTAGATCATTTAAAGACTCTTTTGTCATAGATCAGATTTTGAGTCAGAGATTTGCCTGTAGGAAATTTGTGGGAGAATACTATTGAACTGATGCAATGGGGGTAGTGAGGAAATAGGACTGAGCACAGAGGCGGGGTGGAACTCCAACAGAAAACTCTGATATAAAATATCAAAATAACCCTGAAAAATGTTTCCAATTTGAAGTAAGGGGGATGAGTTTTGTACTATTATACTGAATCGTCAACCCATGTAGGCTGTCTCTGGGGAAAAGGCATGGCCTTGTACAAGGTGGCTCTCTTCATATAAGGGGAAATCTGTAGAGCAATTCAGAGGCGAGCTGTCAGCTGCCAACACTCTCAGCAGCCAGGGGAGAGTGCTTGAGTTTAAGAGTGTCTCAGACACCACAACATCTGCTACAAGCCTACACATTGTGACACTTGTATCCACTCTCTTCATTAAACAGGTTTTGGAAATAGCTCTTCAAGATTCTGAATGGTTCTTTACATTGGACACTTATAAAAACAAGGATGGGCTAAAATATAGGCATAGCAGGTGATCTCAGGGCTGCAACTGGTACTCCTTGTCTCCTATTTCTATTACCCATTCTAATAGGTTCCCTTCAAATTTGACTAGTACCTCTGCTCGTCTAGGTGACTTATCTAGTGGGATGACGCATGATCTCATACACAAAGGGCCCAAGTCCCTGCTTACCATGCACTTCTCGGACCATTGCTGTCACATTTGTTAATTTCCATACCATATGGATAAGGGAATACTAAGAAATGCTTAAAGGGATTATAGCTAGCTGAATTTGTCCCTGTCTGCTTCTACCACATAATAATTGTCTTAGCTCATCCTGATAAGCAGGTTCAATTTTACCCTTTGTATGATGTTTTTTAGGATGTAAGGCTTAAATGAAGTGGGGAGGGCAGCTGGATGTTAAAGTGTAAAGGAAAGCTTGCTGAATCCCTCGATGGAAACATTCTTCCTCTGGAAATCTGGACCTTCAGACCTACAAAGCCTAGAGTTGCAGGAATGGAAAGCACAATTTTCCCAATCTATAGAAAGTGATGATTAGTGAGAGCACTGTTTCTTCAACCCCTTGTGGAGTACATTTATGTATCTTTATGGAGACATGGCACCATATAAAGGCCTTTGATTCACAATGTGTACCATGTTCTGGAGACTGGCACCGCCCTTGGAGGATGGCCCCTCATCCTCCCTGTGTTGGCACCTCAGCTTTGCTGTTAACAGTACAGTATGTAATGAAACCAGAAGATCGCATGGTGTGTGTTCACAGCCATACCTCCTTTGCTTAAAGTGGATTCCTTTAGATTTTTGATGTTATTTAGGATTATGTCAATGGATCAAACACTCTAATGGATCAGACACTTTGGATAGTTGTGCTGGCTGAGGTCTCGATGCAAGAAAAGGAAAACTCATACTCGTAATGTGTAATGATCTCTATTAGCATTAATTCCTATCTTTCAGAGTGGAACGGCTTGAAAGTAGCTTTCACAGGTTGAGCTTCTTGAGGAACAAGTGACACTATTTTTTACTGTTGACTGGTTAGACATTTACAAGGATGACTTCAAAAGTTTGGGGGGAAAATGGAATTAATGTATGAATTTATTTTGGTGCAAAAAATTGAAGTCCATGTCAGTTTTTATAAAATCCACTTATGAACTTTTGAAGATTCTCTCCTGTAATACAGTAAGAACTGTGACTGCAATATATGGATATTCTTGGGAAGGAACTAACTCTGCTGACACTTTGATTTCAGACTTACTAAGATCCAGAACTGTGAGACAGCACATTTCCATTGTTTAAGCCACTTGGTTCATGGTACTTTGTTACAACAACCCTAAGAAACTAATTCATCCTACAATGCCTCTTATATCACAGGCCACAAATGTGAGAATTCGAAAACGTCCAAGTATATTCATTTCCAGTGTGCATTCAGGAACAACTAAGTAAGATCACAGAGCTAGTGGATCCAATGTGAACAAGTATGTGCCAGGACTCCACTTACTTTCTCCAGCCCATAGGGCACCACACTAGTGGGGTTCCATGATAATGCTTTGGGTCTGTTGGTATCAATATAAACTATTTTCAGTTATCTGGGTAATAGCCAGAGGTCCACTTGAGTATATAGAAGAACCATTATTGTATTCTTGGGCTGTGGTGTTTAGGACCATTTCTCCAGATTCTTCAGATCCAAGTTTAGGGTATGAAAACTAACTCCCATCTGAAAATTAAGCAAAGGTTTATTGTGGCTTCATTTTATGACAGTGGCCCTCAAATTTTTGACTATCTTTTCTTGATTTCTTTAGAGGTTATAAATTGAACAACATCTTGCTGCCTGTCCACCTATTTTGCCCCTAGAGATGCTACATTCTCTTAACTATCTCCACGGATCTCTGCAGGTCAGGTCTCCCTGTTAATTCTCCAAAGTTGCACCTCATTTCTTTATGTATGCCTATATTGCTTTTCATGGTTAGGTGGCCCCACCTGGCCTGTATTACTCTAAGATCCTATGATCTCCACTCCTATGAAGGGAAGTAACAGCATCTGTTCCTGAGGTTTTCAGTAGGCTGTTAAATCCTCTATTATGAGAAAGTGCTCCTATAGTGATAACCTCTCCTTATTTTTTATTCCTGTTGGTCCGTCACCCTAAGGATCCAATCTCATACATATTCTCATATATCCTGTTGTATGAATTCTATAACTCTTTTTTTTTTGGAGGGTGTAATTTCATTCCTGTATTAGTAGGCAACACACGTCCTCTACCCAATTATGTCATGATTTCACTAACCTTGGTTTTTGTTTGTTTGTTTTTCCCAGAGAGAACATATGCGAGAGAGAGAGAGAGAGAGAGCGAGTGAGAATAGCCCAGTGGTGTGTAGTCAGGCTGAAATTCTTTTTCCTTCAATTCTCCACCCCATCAAGGTTTGGAGCACACTCACACACATGTCTAGCACATTATTTAAGTGTCCGAAGCTGGGACTGAATCACAGTTGACTATGTGGAATCTAGCTCCCTATCCAAGGGGCTTAATAACTGTACTATGGGACCAGCTCAACCCTAGTTATTTTTCTTGTGGCCAGAGGAAGGAAATGTAAGTAGATCTTGAGGGAGACACATATTGTCTGTCTTTCAAGATAGGAGCCTCTTCATTTGAGCATCATCAGAGTGTACTAGCCTTTAACAAAGAAGATTGGTTAGCAAGTGAACAATAGGCAGGACGCTAGTGAGAAACTGATATGGCTTATTAACTGTTGATGATGACATGTATAGTATTCTCAACTGGATTGGTCTAAGAAGTATTTCATGATGGGCAAAGTATTTTTACAAGCAAAATGAGAAATAGCGATTGACTATTTTAAAAAAATAATTAGAATAATAATAAGAATGTTTGTGGAAAACAGAAAAGATATTGAATGTTGAAGTGGGGAGATTAATGTCTCTGTACTGACTGACATGCATGGCATTCCCTTTTGAAAAAGCAATGTAATACACTGTAAAGTTATATGTAATCCAATGTAATATAAAGAAGATTATGATGATAATAAAAAATAAAAAGTAAAAAATAAGAAAGTTGTATCAATTAAAAAAAAAACAACAAAAAAACCAAAACAAAGAAGATTGGGCAATTTTGGGAACTCAGGATTCAAGGGGATTTTGTATTCAGTTTTTGAGTGTAGCAAATCAAGGTCCTCATCCTATATCACAAACAACCCATGCTGGGAATTTGGAATTGCACTGAATATATAGATCAAATTGGGAAGAGCCGATGTCTTGACAATGTTGAGTCTTCCTCTCTATTTAGGGTTTTGGCTTCTTTCAGAGTTTTGTACTTTTCTTCATATTGATTTTGTACATATTCTCACCATTAACTATGATATTAACTATATGGTTTCTGTAGATTTTCTTTAATATTTTTTACCAGAGGGTTCATGTATTCAAGAGAGAGAGAAAGTGACAAAGCAAGTCCCATGGATCATGGACACACATGTAATCCCCTCTCCATTTCTCTCTCTTTTTTTTCTTCAGAATTTTGAGCATGCATGCACAAATGCCCAGCATGTTTTTTCAATCTATCAGTCCAGGTAGGGCCAGTCATGTGGGATCCAGCCAGTTTAATCACCAAGTAACGAGTTAGTATGATATTCTTTCTTAAGTTGGGGAAGTTCTCCTTTATTCCTAGTTTGCTGAGTTTTCCTTATGAATTAGTGTTAGACTAAAGTTCGTTTGTTTGTCTGTTTTTGAACATTCCTAATTTGAAAATCCCAAATTCAAAATACGCTGGAATTTGAAAAATTTTCAGTGCTTATCTAGGCCCACAAGTAGGAAATTCCATACATAATTAACCTCATCACAGTCAAAACAATGAAATCCAAAAATATTGTAAAACATTAGCTTTGGGTAGTGTGTATACATAAAATATAAATTAATTTCATGTTTAGACTTGGGTTTCATCCTTGAGATAACTCATTCTATATATGCAAATATTCCCAAATCCCCCCAAAATTCTAAATCCTAAACATTCTGGTTTAAGCATTTCAGATAAGAAATGTACAATCTGTATAAAAGAAACTTTAAAAAAAATTTAAAAAGTCTAGCCCTTGTGTATCTCTTCCATTCTTACAAGCCACCATTCTTCCCTTTGACCTTAATATATGGCATTATTGAAGCATTGTGGTCAGCTGCACACAAGCTTATATTATCATATGTAAAATGCTATAGCTATGATCTTATCAAATAAACTTGAATGTATCTATAGAACAAGACAAATCTTAAATCAGATATAATTATCTTAACCTTTTGATGCCTTAAAGTTGACATATCTACAGAAAAGAAAACAAACTGGTAACCCATTAATGAAAACTAACTTAAATCCCACTTTATTAGGTCTGCATAGTGGATTTGTTTTCTAATTACTTACAAACATTCGGATATTAGGGTATTTCATACACCAATAATAATTTTTTAAAAAATCACACTTAAAAAAATAGGAAGATCTGCAACTGGGTGAGGATTCTTGCATGTTAACAAGGGGCTGGCAGTAAGTACAAGTTGTTCTTTTTGAACGAGGCATGGATTCTCAGTTTCAGTTAGTCCTCACCACAGAATACCATCTGATGCATTTTTAAGTGTATAATCACTCTCTCTGTAGTAGAATATTTCGAGTATACAAAATAGTCCGATCCAAACTTGGACTGAATTACAGTATTTTAGTTCACTTTTGAGGAAAGAGAAGTAATCAAGTAGAAAACACTGAAAAAGTTAGCGGATTATATGAAAATAAAGAGTACTTCTGAAAACCAAAATGCAGGGGGCAACCATGTGGTACAGAGTTAGGTGGAAGCCAGACCCCACATGGCCAACCAGGGTTTGAGTTTCAGCCTGGTTGACTTGTAAAACACACTGGCACATGGTATTTATATGTGTATGTGTGTGTGTGTATATATATGTGTGTATATATATATATATATATATATATATATATATAATTTTTTTACATTTTTGCCATAGATACATATGCTCACTAGAGAAAGAGAGAGACAGAGAGGGAAAGTGAGAAATCACCCCTGAGGTAAGATGACCACTCTGCAATCCTTTCTCCATTCTCCTCTTGGGATTCTGGCCATGCATGTGCATGCACCCAGTGTGTTTTCTTTTCTTTTCTTTTTTGAGAGAGATTTCTGCTATAGGGTGTGTGTGCTCTCTAGAGAGACAGAGAGAAACTGAGACAGAAAGTGAGAAATCACCCCACAGGAGAGATGGCCACACCACAATCCCATCTCTTCCACTCTCCTCTCAAGATTTTGGACATGTGTGCACATGTGCCCAATGTGAGTTTCAAGCCACCACGTCTGGGACTCGAACCACAGTCAACCATATGGGAGTCCAGCACCTTAAACACTATGCTACCTGAGGCCCCTTCCCCAGTGTGATTTTCAAGGCACCAAGTCTGGGACTCAAACAGCAGGTGACCATGTGAAAGTTCAATGCCTTACCACCATGCCACCTTCTGGTCCTCATCTTGACAGTCTTTACTTGGGCACTCAACTCAGATTCAATAATCTTTATTTAATAAATACATTTTATTAATAAAATTTAAAAATTAATAAATGAACTATTCTATGGCTGAATGAATATAAAAAACAAAAAGCTTAATATACAGCTATGCTGTCTGTAGCAACCTCCAGAGTTCACATTTTGTGATACAAAGGTCTATGAAATAATTTCTCAGCTAACTGTACAGATTGACATTTATAAAGTGCACTTTATAATAAAACCAGAAGATGGCAATAGAGTAACATAAATCTAAACGTGAGAGGCACTTTAGTTTTATGTAGCCTTTGTCCTTCAATATATTTTTATTGACTAGTTCTCCAACCTTTTGTCTCCCAATTCCTATAAATAGCTTTTTATGAAAATGGCTTAAATGCACACTTAACTTTTAAAAATCCAACTATACAAAAATCCTCATAGTAAAATCTTTCTTTTGCTGTATACAAAAGAATGTCCAAGAGCCTTTCTTGGCTAGCAAGTTCTCATTTTAACGTGTTTGTTAGAGCCCACAAACCAGTTTGGCAACTCCACATCCAACCATGTACAAGTGGCAGTAGTGGCTCTTCTCCCTTGGGGCCTGCAGGGAGAGATTGGAGGCCCTACACCCAAAGTATTAGCACCATAGTGGCCCTACTTACTCAGGCCCTACAGAGGCAAGCCAGTGGTCCTGCACCCAGTACAATGGCACTGGTTATGGTCTCACTCACATGGGGCTTATAGAGATGAGTTGGTAGCCCTGCACCCAACTGTGCACAAGTGGCAATAGCAGCTCTGCTTACCTGGGGTCCAGAGAGACAGGCTGGAGGCCCCACACTCAGAGCACTAGCACCAAAGTGGCCACACTTACTCAGGATCTGCAGAGACAAGTCAGGGGTCCTGCACCTAGTGCACCAGCACTCGTTTTAACTCCACCCACATGTGAATCACACAAACAGACTGGCAGTTCTGCACCCAAATACACACAAGTCCCATACAGGATTTCAGAGTAGGCTGAAGCCCCACACCCAGTGTAACAGCATCAGTAGTGGCCTCGCACACTTGGGGCTTATTGAGATAGTTTACACCCAGGCACTCACTGGTGCAGGTAGCAAACCAGCCCATCTAGGATCTATACCGACAAGCTACTGGCCTATCTTCAGCTGTATACTAGTGCCAGGAAGAGCCTCAGACACATGAATCCTGCAGAGACAGGATGACAACCCTCGATTCAGCTGTGTACCAGCACTGAAAATGGTTCTACCTGCTCCCAGCGACACACCAGTTCTGAGAGAAGTCTTATCTACCTACTGAAGCAGACCAGGGACCTGCCTTCAGTATGCAGTCATACTCAGAGCCACATAAGTGACTCTGCCTGCCTATAAATCCACACTGCCTTTAGAATAGCTGAGTCACAACTGGCAGACCAATCCCTCAAACCTCTGCAGCCTAGATCACTGAGGCACTTCAATCATCACTAATATGGAATACAACTGAAGAAATTGCATGAAGACTATACTACTGAGTCCACTCAGAATCTAAGGCAAGCCACCCTATACAACAGACATCTAAGGACCCATTGCCCAGAGTAAGTCTTTTACTGCAAAAGCTACAATAAAATTAGTAGAAGCAACTGTTTCACCAGATGCACAAATACCAATATAGGGACACAAGAAATATCAAAAAGCAAGGCAACATAACACCCACAATAGAGTATAATTCTCCAGTAAAAGGTACCAAAGAAAAGAAAATCTATGAACTGCCAGTAAAGAAATTCAAAATAGTGATCTTAAAGCCTGGTATTGAATGGCTTCACTGTAGAATTGTACAAAATTTTTAAAAAAATTATCACTACTTTCCTCAACTGTTAAAAAAAATAGAGTTGGAGCAAATCCTTCTTAACTCATATACAAGGCCAGCAGTACTTTGATGCCAAAACCAGACAAAGACACAACAAAAATATAAAATACCGACAGGCCAATACTCCTGATGCAATATAGATGCAAAAATCCTCAACAAAATAGTAGCAACTGAAATGCAATGACACAGAAAAAGATTATATACCATGACCAAGTGTGATTTATCCCAGGAATACAAAGATTGTTTAACATACATAGAGCAATAAACATGACACTTCATAGCAATAGAATCAAGGACATAAACCATATAATCACCTCAATAGATAGGGAAAAATAATTTTATAAAACATAACTTCCTTTCATGAGGAAAACACTCAGAAACTTTGGCAGAGTAGGAATTTACCTTAACAAAATAAGAGCCTTAACAAACCATAGCTGAAGGCAGAAAGGTTGAAAACTTTACCTCTAAGAACTGGAACAAAACAAGGATGTCCACATTCATACTCTTATTCAACATAGTACTGGAGGTCCTAGTTAGAGCAATTAGGCTAGAGAAAGAAAAAAAGTTTTCCAACTTTCAAAGGAGAAAGTAAAATAATCTCCTGTTTATAGGCAATATAATCTTAGATATAGAAAACCCTAAGAATTTTGAGAACAGATAAAGGAATTCAGTAAAGTTGCAGGATATAAAGTCAATGTATGAAAATCAGTAGCATTTTTGTACATCAATAACAAACTGACTGAAAAAGAAGACAGGAATGATCAATCCTATTTATAGTAGTTATAAAAAACCTTAGAAATAAATTTAACCAAGGAAGTGTAAAATCTCCACAATGACAACTATAAAACAATGATGAAAGAAATTTAAAAGACATAAATGAAAAGGCATTCCATTTTATAATGTGTAGTAATTAGTATTGTCAAGATATCTATACTAACAAATGTACAGTTGAGTGCAAAAGTCTGTCAAAATACTGATTTCTTGACAGAAAATTTTAAATGTTTATAAAGTCATAAAGAACCGTAAAAGAACCTGAATTCCCCAAACAATTATGAGCAAAAAGAACAAAGCTGGAGACATCACATCTCCTGATTTCAAAATATGGCACTGCATGCTTTGAAAAACGGAAAAAACGCATAGACTGATGGAACAGAATAGTAAACATATAATTAAATCTACATTTTTATAGCCAGCTGATTTTTGACAATGGTGCCAAGATTATCCATTGGGGTGAAAATCTCTTCAATAAATTATACTGGGAAAAGTGGACATTCATATGCAAAAGAATAAAACTAGTCCCCTATCTCTCACCATATACAGAAATAATTCAAAATGGATTAAAGACTTAAACATAAGACCTGGAATTACAAAAGTAGTTAGAAGAAAACATAAGAGAAATACTTCTAGACATTGTTTTGGGCAACAAATTTTTGTGTAAGACTTCAAAGAACCGGCAACAAAAGCAAAAATAAACGAATAAGACTATATCAAACTAAAAAGCTACACAGCAAAGGAAATAATCAACAGAGTGAAAAAACAACCTACAGAGTGAGAAAAATATTTGAAAACTACACATCCAACAGGGGATTAATAAAATATACAACCAACTCACATAACTCGAAAGCAGAAAAACAAATAATCCAATTAAGATATGTAAGTGATCTGAATAGACATTTCTAATAAGAAGACATACAAATGACTGAAAAGTATATAAAAAAGTTCAACATTATTAATCATCAGGGAAATGCAAATCGAAATGACAGTCAGATGTAATAACCAGTTAAATTGGTTATTATTAAAAGAACAAACAAAAAATTAGAAATGTTAGGAAGGATTGAGATAGAGAAACTCTTACACTGTCAGTAGAAATGTTAGTTGGTACAGCCATCACTAAAAACAGTATTAATGTTCCTCAGACAGCTAAAAGCAGAATTGCCATATGAGCCAGCAATCCCACTCCTAGGCATATGTCCAAAAGATTTAAAATCAGTTGTTATTGATATCTGCACTCCAAAGTCTATTGCATCACTATTTCAAATAGCCAAAATATGAAATCAACCAAAATATGCCCATCAATAGATGAATGGATAAAGAACACATGAATATATAAATACATATATATGAATGTAAAGATAAAGAATGTGTGTGTGTGTGTGTGTGTGTTTATAAATGCTATTCAGTAATTTAAAAGAATGAAATCTTGTGACTCAAGGCAATGTGGACAAGCTTAAAGGACATTATGTTAAGTGAAATGACCCAATCTCACAAAGAAAAATCATGTATTCTCACTCATATGTAGAAACTGAAAAAGTTGACATCACAGAAGTACAGGAGTAGAATAGTGATTACTAGAGGCAGATAAGAGTAGGGTAAAAGGGAGATAGATGTCAGATACAAAATTACACTTAGAGAAAAGAATAATTTCTAGAGTTCTAAGTGCAATAGCGTTACTATAGTTAAAAATAGCTCATTGTATGTTTCAGAATAGCTAAAAGAGAGGATTTTTAATTTTTCCAACACAAAGTAATGATAAATGTTAGAGATGATGGATATGATAATTACCTTAACTTGATCATTTCACATTGTATTCATGGACTGAAAAAAAGAAAGGTTTGTGAGAAGACAAAACCTTGAGGGCTATTCAGAGAGTGCCACACCCCACAATAAACTTGCATGTAATTGCTTTCAGCTCTAATTTCTGATGTATAATATAACACAATGGTTAAGTACTTGAACTTACTGAAAAGCTTGGGTTCAATTTTGATTTTAGCATTTACAGGCTCTGTCATCATGGGCAACCTTTTCTTTCTGACACTTAAATTTCTCTTCTGTATGATAGGAATAATAATAATAACAATAGCTGTTATCTGTAGTGACATTCTAAGGATTAAATAAAATGATGAATTTAGCTCAGTGTCTGACATGTAATAGGAAACTAAAAATGTCAGCTATTATCTTTGCCACTAAATTTGGATGAAAGAAACTTGCTTTGTATTAGTTTTGAAAGAATACTAGCCATTTGTGTCAGAATATTTTTTGTTGCTTATTAAGTATGTAACTGAAGCAAAATAAAAGAGAAATAAAATGTCTATGAGCAAGTTTCAAGTCTCTACAGCAATATCAACTACTGCTTTTTGCATCAAAGTTAAGCAGAGACTGATGTTTTATTTAGTTTACTCTTCTGAGCCACAGATATACTATCCTAACATGGCATTTAATTTTATGTAAATGGTTTATCAAGTAAAAGACATGCCTATTTCCACTCATTGATGACGTGATAAGAGATTTATAGAGCAGAATTACATGAATCAATCTTAACTTGTGACTGCGATGGTCATAAAAACACCAGTCATTTAAGATCTTTCCATTTTTGGACCTGATATATCTGTACTCAATAAAAACAGTTTTTAGACATAAAGGTTTACATGTTAGTCTTTATAAAAAGCAAAATGCGGGAACCAGCAGTTAGCGTAATGGCTATGTCACTGGACTCCCATGTAGTCGACTGCGGTTCGTGTCCTGGATCCGGTGGCTTAAAACTCACGCTGGGCGCGTGTGCGTGCGTGCCCAAGATCCCGAGAGGAGAATGGAGGAGAAGGGATTGCGGCATGACCATCCCCCCTGGGGGGTGACTTCTCGCTTTCTGTCTCTATGTCTCTCTCTGTCTGTCTGGCGAGCGCACGCGCCCTATAGTGAAAAAACCTCTCAAAAAAAAAAAAAAAAGCAAAATGCATTCAGATCCATGGAGATGTTCCAATCTCTAGCCTGAAAGAGAAGAAGAGAGAGAGAGAGAGAGACCACTAAAGATAACTTACCTTCACAGAAGTCTGTGAGCCTGTGGAGAAAAAACAATACAATAACTGAGAATTTCTTTCATATCAGTTAAAGCAGAGATAAAAATCTGTTCTGCACAGAATGACTACATTCTCTGTTTTCATAGCCATGAGGTTACCTGGTCTACTGTCTCCCTTTGAATCTAGATTGTATCAATAATTGGTGCTAAATACTTTCATTTATTTATTTTGGAGAGGTTTTTGCTATAGGGCGCATGTACTCGCCAGACAGAGAGAAAGAGAGACAGAAAGCGAGAAGTCACCCCCCAGGGGGCATGGCCATGCCACAATCCCTTCTCCTCCATTCTCCTCTCGGGATCTTGGGCACGTGTCTTGGGCACTCATGCACACGTGCCCAGCATCAGTTTCAAGCCACCTGGTCCGGGACGTGAACCGTGATCTACTACATGGGAGTCCAGCGACATAGCCATTACGCTAACTACTGGTCCCAGTACTTTACATTTAAATACTGAAGTTCTACCAACCCAGTGATTTTTGTCACTGGCTGCACATTAGCAACACGTGAGGGTTTAAAAATATCAAAACCAGAGTGCTATTCCAAATATCTTTAAGCACAATTTCTGAGAGAAGGAACATAAATTATCTTTTAAATGTTTCCTAGGTGATTCTAACATGCACCCAGGGTTGAAAACAACTAAGCATTAGGAGTTAAGCTCTTCTTACCTGGCCCTGGACAATCTTTTATTAAGTCCTGTCTTGTTTTTTACTAGCCATCTTGCAAATACTTTCCATTTTCCTCAGCTTTCTCCACACACCTCTCCACAGAGGGGACCTTCTACTTAACCAAATTCAGTATATTCCTTGGGATTTCCTCAACGTCTTACCTCTGGACTTTCTAATGAACCTCCACTTTTTAGGTTCAGTTGAAGAGTCTTTCCCCTACACCCTCAAGACTTTCTCCTTCATCTTAAACACTCCTACTCCCCTCAGGAACCTAGTCCTTCAATTATGCTCTCATTTTGTATTTTGGGTATTTTGGGTTCAGGTTCAATAAGCTCTTGGTATCTTATATGTACTAGGTGCCAGGACTCCAAAGGAGAATGAGAAAGTTAAGGAATTCAGTCAAGGAGAGGTAGAAATATAGAATAATTATACCATGGCGTGACTTGGACAACAAGGGAATATAGAACACAGAAATAGGTAAAAGGAAAGTAATTGCCAATTTTTATGTGCCCAATTCTTCCTAGGCTGAAAAAAAAACTTTTTTTTTTTTTCTCCATAAGCTTACATTTTGCATTCTCATTTCTGGTATTAGCTCTTGTCCTGTGTTCTGCTAGATATGTGCCTTCTCTCCCACCTTTTCTTATTTCCTTCTTTTTTTCTTTCTTCTGTTTTACATTATTTTTAATTGACAAATAATAATTGTATGCAATTGTGTCTCAGTATCCATGAGGAATTGATTCCAAGATCTGCTGCAGGACACTAAAGTCCAAGGATACTCATGTTCCTCAGATAAAATAGTGTAATGTGTATATGTATGTGTATATATATGCCATACTCATCCTTCCACATGCTTTAAAACATCTCTAGATTGTTTATAAGTAATCTTGTTATCAGATGTAAGTGAAAAACTGTATACAGACAAACTTCTTCAGCATTTCTTTTGTTGGGAGATACTACCACTTTACCTCTTTCACAACAATGGTGTGTTCTGGCTGCATCTGTGTTTGGTTTAATCCATAGATCCTAGGCTGAAAAAAAAACTTTTTTTTTTTTTCTCCATAAGCTTACATTTTGCATTCTCATTTCTGGTATTAGCTCTTGTCCTGTGTTCTGCTAGATATGTGCCTTCTCTCCCACCTTTTCTTATTTCCTTCTTTTTTTCTTTCTTCTGTTTTACATTATTTTTAATTGACAAATAATAATTGTATGCAATTGTGTCTCAGTATCCATGAGGAATTGATTCCAAGATCTGCTGCAGGACACTAAAGTCCAAGGATACTCATGTTCCTCAGATAAAATAGTGTAATGTGTATATGTATGTGTATATATATGCCATACTCATCCTTCCACATGCTTTAAAACATCTCTAGATTGTTTATAAGTAATCTTGTTATCAGATGTAAGTGAAAAACTGTATACAGACAAACTTCTTCAGCATTTCTTTTGTTGGGAGATACTACCACTTTACCTCTTTCACAACAATGGTGTGTTCTGGCTGCATCTGTGTTTGGTTTAATCCATAGATGGAGAACTCACTGATACAGTGGGCTGACTGTATGTTTATGGGATATAATATGATACTCTGATACAAGTGTACATTGTGGGATGATGAAATCAGAATAATTAACGTACGTACCGCCTCAAATATTTTTCATTGCCTTGTGGTGAAGACATTTAAATTTCTCCCTTTAAGTTATTTTGAAATATACAGTTTATTTTTATTAGCTATAGTCTCTGAGCTGTGCATCAGAACCCCAGAATGTAGCCTTCCTTTCTAACTGAAACTTTGTACTACTGGACCAACAACTCCCTTTTACTCATCTACTCCCCACCCCCTGCTCTGCTCTGGTAACCACCATTCTACTCTTTACTTCTATGAGTTTGAGTTTTGATTCCATTTATGTAAGATCATACAAAATTTGTCTATTTATGCTAAAAAGATCAACAATTGTCCTTTCCATCACAAAATATTAGTGGCGTATTTTTTCTATCCAAAAATGCATCATGACTTTTCTGACAACCCGATAATTTAAAAATATTGCTGCCCATCATTACCACATTAACTGGAGAAAAAATATTTTTAAAGTAGTTTTCCTTATAAAGCACAGGTTTTTGGTCATGAAAAGTCCAGTAGAATGGTCTAATAAATGTAATTTAAGACATTGGACTAATTCATCTAGAAGGCGGATGCAAGAACAAGGTTATTTTTTAGCTAGTCAGAAGTTCTGAAAATAATTATCTGATTAAAGAAACAATATTACTTAAGATAAGAATAGAAGGAAATGAAACTGAAAATAGTTGACTGACCCGATCAAATAAGGTTCAATATTTATAATTACATAGGTTGAGTTTCAAATGAATGATGGTTACTTCATTTACTTCATTTAAATGTTAACAACCCAGTTTGATATATACAACAATTTTAGTGGACCTTAGGAGAATTATTTTGAGTAAAAACAGTCAATTCTGTATCATTTTATTTTGATGACATTCTTGAAATAAAATTATAGAGATAAAAATCAAATTAAGGGTGAGAGACTTGTGGGTAAAGGTGAGTGTGGCTACAAATGGGAAGATGACTGATTCTTGTGGTTATGAAATAGTTCTGGGCCAGCTGATGGTGTAGTGGTTAAGGTAGATGGGTCCCACATGGCCAACTATGCAGTTTGAGTGACTCGGTGGCTTGAAAAATATGCCAGGTTCATGTGCATGTGTCCCCAAAAATCTGAAGAGAAAATGAAGACAGGATTGTGGTATGGTCATTCCCCTGGGGCGGGGAGGCTTTCTTGTCTCTCTTTCTCTCTGGTGAACACTTGCATCTTCTAGCAAAAACAAAAAAAAAAAAAAGAAGAAGGTAAAAAGAAAGTTATGTATTTTGTATTTTATTATGGTGGTAGTTACGTGAATCTACACATGTGATAAAATTTTGTAGAGCTACATACACACATTTGTATGAGTGTATGTATAACTTTGGCATGACCATTTCCCCTAGGGTTTGCTTTCTCACTCTCTCTCTAGCTAGTGTACTTGCCTTACAGTAAAAAAAAAAAAGTGTCTCCTATTTTCATGCATTGTTTAACACAACCAATAGACTAGTACTCCAAATAACTTCCTGACTTAATAGACTAGGAAATTACTTTTGATGTTTTTTTCTTCTTCTTTTTTAACTGTCAGAAGGATCTTGCACAAGCCAGAGAAAAACGGAGAGGGAGAGAGAAAGCCCCACTCACTGGGGTGTGGCCATGCCACAATCTTTTCTTCTTGTTTCTCCACCCAGTCAGGAATTTGGCCAGGCACACATGTGGTTTTCAAGGCACTAGGACCAGAATTTGAACTGTGGGTTGGCCATGTGAGATCTGGCTCTTTTAACCCTACTTTTGATACTTTCCAGATATTTGTCTTAACCCATTGCTATGGTTTGAATGTATCCCCCAAACTTTATTTGTTAGAATTTAGTTTTGTTGTGAAGATATTAAGAGAAAACTTAATCTGATCCAATGTAATATAAAGAAGATTATGATGATAATAAAAAAAAAAAGAGGTGGAGCCTTTGAGTGATGTAACTTGAGTGGGATCCCCATGCTTAAATCCTGGTGAGTGTATAAGGAGAGATTGAGACAGAGACAGAGACAGAGACACAGGGACAGGCACAGACACAGACATGCACGCTGCTTTCTCTCACTGTAGACCCACACAGGAACACCTGCCCCACAAGTGCCCCTTGGCCTTTGGACCTCAACACAAACCTCTGTTCTCTTAAATCACCCAGACTCATGTATTTTGTATTCTGTTATTAGCAACAGAAAAAGCTAGAACACCCATTACTAACTAGCTTTTCCTTAATATAATTTGCCTTAGAGATAGATTCCATAAACCACAAGTGTCTATGCAGAAAAACTGAATACGCTACTTTTAGAAGACAATGTTGAATACTTTTAGAAGACGATGGTGACGTAGTCCATTATTTCCATTTTCACTTTGACTCTTAGAAAATTCAGAGCTAGTATATAAGAAATATGAAAAGATTTACACACAAGAGGAAAAGGAATTACTTTCATATATGAATGTGTAAGACAAAGATTTCTAATATGTCACTGGAAATAGAAAAGGAATATTCTGTAATTGAACCTCACAGATTCTTTTGTGACTCTCTTTTCAGCTTTTCAGTGACTAACTCCACTCTGTTATTAGAGTTGACTTCAGCCAGCTTATTTCTTGTTTCTTAGAGCAGCCTGCTTCTCCTCAGCCCCAAATTACCAAAGTGTCTCTTTTCTAGAATAATTTGTGTCTCTTTACTTTCACCAACCACTTACGGAAG